AGCTGGAGCTATCCTGTACTATAGACTGTAGACTTGTCTTCCTTCTGGGAAAGGTATATTTATGCATACAGAGTAAATTGCTATGCCTACAGTGCCACCTGAGTCCATTGAAATTAGTGGGCTCAGCAGAGCGTAACTCTGTTTAGGATGGAACCGTTACAGAGAAAGAAATAGAAGAGTAGTGTGAAACCATGCGGTCATACATATGGGCTGGCTCTTGAATGATGTTCATGTACACGGACATGAAGTACAGCTCTTCAGAGCGCGCGCACTTGGATGCTTGTTGGCAAAAAACCCACGTCTGGTGGAGAATTTTCTCCTAAGGGAGTTCTGTGCATGTTGTCAAGTTGCAGACACTGCTAGTACTCGGCATCTAATGGAGCCTTCCTTTAGGAAGGAGAGCTGTTTTCACAGTTGTTAAATTCTGCTTAACTTGCCGATAGATCAAGTCATTTGGTGTATTTTGGAAGCAAATGAAAATGTAGTATATACCATGGTCATTCCCATTTGTAAATTTGCTCAAATGAGACGAACAGGATGTGAAAGTGGTAATGTAGATCATGTAGGGATTCGAGCTCTTAGTCCTGTTTCGTAGTATCTGCAAGGACTTATATCTTAAACCATATGATGGACACATAACAGGTACCCTCCCCCCCCTTCCACCAAGTGAAGCACTTGTAGATGCTTTAACAGGGCATGGAGGGAGACTGCTGGGTACATTTTGCTTGGAAAGCCAACACAGGAGTGGGGTAACCATGGGAAGGCTGCAGGACTTCTGTGTGTTTGGAGAAGCAAAAACTGGGGAATAGCTCCCCCCACCAGCACTTTTTCTGCATGGGGAAATGGCTTGGGGGAAGGCAAGAGCCCCCCCCCCCAGTGGTGGTATTCTGAACACATTTGAGTTCTCTGTTATTTTTAAAAAGCATTCCCTGCAGCTGCCTCTGTGTGGTGGTGGAGAATCCGAGTTCCCTGGCCCCAGCTCTAAAAAAACCTCTTGGACCTCTTAAGTTGGAGCAGGTAAAATAAAAGCAGGAGGGGACGCTGATAAGAGAGTTTCGGGTTCTAGTACCTTTAAGATGTGGTGCCTTCTTCTTAGGATGTGGTGCCTTCTTCTGTCACTGACGCTTACGTGGGATGCTTTCTCCTGTCAAGGTAGCGCTCCGCCCTGTCCAGTTATCATGATTATGGGAGAATAATAATAATAATACCTTTTGATTTATTGATTGCTCAATCCGGCAGAGCTGCTGGCTCTGAGTGATTTACAGTTACACAGGTTTCACACAAGGGACTAACAATTGTTCATAGGGGTAAGGGGGTCAACATATAATTCTTTAAATCGCACACGTTTGCAGCCGACGGGGATTCTGTTCAGCTGTAGGCTTCAGACGTGTTCTGGACGGCATTCACTTTCGGCTTGGCTTGATGACGTTGGTTCTTCCTGGGCTGCTTTTTGAGTCGTAGCGCCGCACTGCCACCGCCTGGCCGGATTGGGCCATCACAGGCTTCTTAATGCCGAAGAGGTCTTTTTTCCAGGCTTCCCAGTTTACGAGCTGGACATTCCATTCGCCGGCTATCACCTCCCCTACGGGGGTTTAGTGTGCCCACCCTTTCTAAGGAGTGGTACCCATTTTATCTACTCACCGAAGCTTTCGAACCACTGGGTGGACGGCGAGCTGGGGACAAGGCTGGTAGCTCACACCAGCGCAGGCTAGAACTGACAGCAACTCTGTTCAGTTCAGATGTTAACGAGAGGATAAATCCTCTGTGCCAGGACATGATTTAAACTGGGTATTTTAAAGACCACACTAGATGTGATATTGGGTGATTAATGAGTCAATCTCCGGCAAACTGTAAGAGAGCAGTTGTTGGGCCCTTACTTTGGTCTGGGCTGTGGTGTGAGGAGGAGACATTCAGAAACTGAATGTAGATCCTTCATGGACCAGTGACCTTGGATGTGGCTATCTCTTGAGTTGTGTCTGTGATCCAAACTCAACATGACATTGGGAGATCCAAGAATGGAGAAAATAGCTACAATTGTGGGGTGCATGTGTGCTGGAAGGGATTTTGGTGCAAGAGTGAGGGGAGGGGGTTTATCCTCCCCCCCCATTTTCCTGTCATCTTCCTAACCTCAGTCACCCCCTCTACACTATAGCTGCAATGTGCCCCATGGAGGCAAATATACCAGTGACCGAATGGGACCGGTATGTTTTCCCCATATGGTGAATTGTAGGACTAGAAGGCCAGTTAGGATTGGCATGAGGGGAAAAGGTTTTTAATCCCTCAATCTTCCCTGTAGCGGCTAATTACCCTCTTTAAAAAACATGGCAATCCATCATTCTCTGTCTAGTTTTGTCCATAGACATGCCTTTGTAGCTGACCGCTTTTCAAGACCCCCAGGTATGTGAAGAGTTTAAGTTTGGCCTTTGATATCTTTTGGAAGCCCAATCAGATTCCATGGAAGTCGTGGTTTTTCCCTCTTGTTCAAGGGGCACCTATTACTAAAGGGCTTACGTTGTACTTTAAAATGTTGTTTTACGTGCATGGGCATAGTTTAGAGGATTAGGACAGCCAACAGCATCCACTTCAGAAAATGATACTATTACGCTATGTTTCTCTGTAAGCACATGCCCAGCTGTCCGGCACATACCTAAAATGGATATAGAATCACTGATCTGCTTACTGGTTACAACTTGTGCCCAATATATCTCTGTGCATTTCTGTATCAGGCAGATATAGTTGGATTAAAGCCGGGTTTACAAAGCCGGTGGGAGAATATTCTGGGTAACAGAAACTTGGGGAGGCGGGATGAAACTGGGTGTGGGGGAAACTTTTGATTTCCCCCCCCCTAATAAACATGCCATTATAAGAACACCTGCTTTAATACATTAGAGTTCTGTTTCTCCCTCTTACCTTTTGTCAGGACCCACAGCCAGACAACGGAGCACACTCTTCCAAGAAAGGTTTTGCTTTATTGTCAGTACTATGGTTGCAGTAACATGGTCACTGTTAGGAATGACTAGCCAGGAACAAGCGTACAATAATATAGCAGATTCAAAAGGTCCCCCCCCCCCACACCTCTGGGCCAATCGCCCCTGTTCCCACCGGCGGGGA